TTAAAACACAAATTATTATACTTCTAAAAATACATAAAATATAAATCAGTTTTTATTTCTTATGGTGTATTTGGCCTGATAGAATTTGCCTAGTCAAAGACTTCAGCATGCTTTTTGTCATGTTGTATTATCAATATTCTCAAGTGAGGTCTTAATGCTGCCTGACAATCACACTATTTTCTCTTATCCACTCAGTCTCCTATTCTCCTACACAACACTTTGTACCATCTCCTTTCTCCTTAAACCGCCAATATTTCTTCCCCCATGTACATTTTCATCTAATGATGTGGTTTGTTTCCTGTTTCACTGAGAAAACTGAAGCAATCAGAATTCCCTCTTCTTACTCCTACATTAATTTCCCCCTCTTCATTGTTTGTATAGCCTCAGCATTAAAAACATATTGTTATATTTCACATCTTAAAAAATGTTTTTTGGCTTTGTCTACCTTCAGCTAATGCCCTACTTCTCTCCCTCCCTTTAATCTAAAATCCTAGAAGAATTATCTAACTCGCTGTCTCCAATTTCTTTCCTGTATTCTTACTGAACACCATTCTAATCATGCTTTTGCACGACGACTGTACACATTTGTTCTTCACAAAGTCACTCACAACCTCCATGTTGCTGAAGTCAATGGTTATGTGACCTATCAGCACCATTTTGAAACAGCAGATCATGCCCTCCTCCTGAAAGTACTTTTTCTACTTGTTTACTAGCACACAACACTCTCCTGGTCACTCCACTCCTGGTCATTCCTCTCTCCTTATTAAAGACAGTTCCTCGTTTTTCTTACAACCAAATATCAGAATGCCATAGGCCAATCCTCAGATCTGTTCTCTCTTCTATCTTCACTCATTATGTTGGTGATCACAGCCACTATTATTGCTTTAAAAAACATCTACATGCTGAAGCTGCCAAACATACTTTTCTAGTCTCATTATCTCCCTTAAATTCCAGATTCAACATTGCCACATAGATGTTTAACAGACATTTCAAAGTTAACTTCTTCAAAACTGAGTTTCTGATCTCTCTGCAACCATCTCCCCGAAACCTGTTTCCCACAGTCTTCCCTACTACAGTAAACATACCCTTCTAACTGATCAGAAGACAAATCTGAGTGTTATCCTTGATTTCTCTCTTTCTATCACATTCCACATCTGATTCATTAGCAAATCCTACATAGTCTATCTTCATAATATAATCAGAATCCCAGCAATCCCCCTTCTGGGCATATAACCAAAGGTAATGAAATCACCAGCTTATAAAGATATCTGAACTCTCATGTTCACTGAAGCATTATTCACAATAGGCAAAATGTGGAAACAATTCAAGTGTCCATCAAAACCTGCATAAAGAAACTGATACATATATACAATGGAATATTATTCAGTCCTAAAAAATAATTGCACAGGGGTTTTAAAGGAAGGAAAAAAAAAAGAACGAGGTACGCCTGAAGGACATTATGCTACGTGAAATAAGCCAGACACAACACAAAAATATTGTATTATTAATATCTCACTTATGTGTGGAATCTAAAAAAAAAATTCAAATACACAGAGACAGGAACAAAATAGTGGTTACTAGTGGTAAAGCGGGTAGGGAAGAAATGGGGAGATGTAGGTCAGAGGATACAAAGTAGCATATATGTACGATGCACAAGTCTAGAGAGCTAATATACAACATGAGAGCTATAGGTAATAAAATTATACTGTACTGTATATGGGATTCATGACAAATGAGTAGTCTTTAGCTGCTCTTGCCACACACACAAAAAAGGTGAAACAATGGAATTGTTAATTTGCTTCACTATAGTAATCTTTTTAATATTTATATGTATCCCATAACAGTATGTTATATATCTTAAATACACACAATTTTTTAAAAAAGTAACAGACATGCAATTTGAAAACTTAAGGGTATGTTAGTTAGCCACTGAGATGACAGGACTGACAGAGCATCAGTGTGGGTGGAGAAGAGTACCTCACTGCAACCTCCAAACCCTAAGTCGAGCGATACTTCCACCTCAGCTTCCTGAGTAGCTGGGACTACAGGCGCACGCCACCATGCCTTAGCTAGGTCTAAAAATTTTTTCTAGAAATGGGGTCTCGCTGTGTTGCCCAGGCTTGTCTCAAATTCCTGGACTCAAGCAATCCTTCTGCCTCAGCCTTCCCAGGTGTTTGGATTATAGACATGAGCCACCACATCCAACCCAAAATTCTTTCAATGACTTCCCATCCTACTCAGAGTAAAAAACTGAACTCCTTACCATGGCTCAGAGTCTTATTTGATCTGGCCTCCTATTACCTTTCTGACTTCATTTCCTGTTATTCTCCCCCTCACTTCAATCCACTCTCACCACAATGACTTCTTTTTCCTGGAACATGACAGGTATATTCCTGCCTTAGAGCCTTTGCATCTGCTGTTTCCTCTGGCTGAAACACTCTTCCTTCAGGTAACCACATGACTTATTCCTTTGTCACCTTCAGTCTGGATTTACATGGCAGCTCAACAAAGCCTATGCAAGCTACACAATTTAAGACTTCAAACCACCCCACCACCTCCATACTCCCTAACTCCTTCCCCACTCTAGACTAAAAAAGGAAAATAAACTCTACTAGAGAAAACTGTTTGTCTATAGAACCATTCAAACTTGAGAAGTAATTAAAAGTAACCAAAGGGGAAGAAACTAACGGTAATTTCTTCTGATGACGAGTGAGGATGGGAAAAGATGGTATGCAATGTAAATGCTTCCCTGGGAAACAAGGATAAACGTCACATAACTCTTGAAGGAGCCCTATGAAAGGACAGAGAATGGAGGAATCAACTCTGCTTGGGATGCACTATGGAGGAAGGGGGGGTAGTATCAATAAAGTTCCAGAGGAATTATACTTTCGGGGGGATCTTAAAGGAAGGATGAACAGGAATTCAATAATCGGTAATATTCAAAAATAGGAAAACATCCTTAGAAAAATGAGGAAGAGAGTAACTTTCTAGCTAAATTCTAGTTCACAAGGATACTCAGCGCTTACAAAATGCTCACAAAAACATTTACCACACCACATACAGTTGTGCTCCACTGATGAAAAATTGGACTTGCTAGGTTCTTAGTTTCCAATTTAATAGTATAAGGATGCAAACTGCTTATTAATAAAAGTAAATTATGACTAATTAATACAAACTGTTACTATACAGGAACATATACCTTATCTCTTGCAGTAAGAAATCGTGGGTCATCTTGAAAAGCTTCTTTGACGAGTTTACTAAATCTATTAAATAGTGTAAGTAACTGCTCAACATATTTCTCAGAGTCCTAGAAACAAAATGTTTTATATTTAATTGAAATTTTAAAAAGAAAAGAATAATACAAAAATGAG